GGGCTGCATGTCTCTTGTAAAAACAAAATCAGTCTTACGCCCAGAAATCCTCTACTGTGTCAAATTTGGAGATCAGTCTGAGATTGGCCTGCCATGTTTTGCTCTTGTCATTTTTGAAGAACCATAAAGACCATCTTTAAGAACAAAATAAAAAATAAAGACAACATCTAAAGAAACTAAAAACTACATTTAGAAGCTAGCACATTATTTGAAAACAAGTGCATTCATCCCTAAAAACAAGTGCATTCATTCACTCGACCTGTTCTGTAAGGGGTGTTTGATGTAGCTCTCAGGGCTGACAATCTCCTGATTCGTCTCTTCTGAGTCCTCCTCTTCACTCTTACAAGAAATTGAGTTTAATTCCTGCACAGGAACCTTTAAAAGATTAGTTTAGATACAATACATTCAAGTTCACATCACAGCAGCCAGTACACACACACACTGTGCAGACAGAAGAGAAAGACTGGAGGCAATGTCCCTTTATTGTCCTCATTTATTTAAGCATCGGGAGTAGAACTAATTCAACAGCTGGGACCAGTGCGATACCTGGCAGATGTGATTGTGTTGTATCTGATGTTAGTCTGAAGACTAGTCACTGTTAGTTTTGCTTAACTTGTTTTGAACCTAACATGAGCTTTGTGTGAGAGCTCTGAGTGATTACACTCATTCATTATTATGAGCGAGGGTCTTTCATGTGTGCAATTTAGAAAATGTAGATACAAATTTATACACGTAAAATTAATTTAACGTGTCAATCTGGAACTTAATAGCAGATTGTAACAGCTGTGAATAAACTATGGTTTGGCACAAGTTTTAGAGTTTAATCCAGCATGGTGTCGTTACACTACAATTCACTTCACTTTCCTCATTCACTGTCTAGTTTTTGACAGCTGTGCTGTGGTGGGGACGCTTTGTTCCCGAAAGAAAAGTAAGCAAGATAAAAAGTGTGGCTAAATGCATATAGGGTAGTGGTGACGAACAGACATCTGGAAAAGTAATGAAGTGCCCTACGCGACTGGAACAAGCCTTGTCAACTTTCAGCCAAACTTGCTGAGCCACCCCATTCAAACATGCCGAATAACTTTTTAAAAGTTTACAGAGGGCGACATTTAAACGTAAGTTTCGCCTAAAAAGACGTATACACGTATTGTTAGGGCCAGGTAGTTCGTAGCGTAACGCTGAAGGACTGGAAAGTATAAAATAATCTTTGAGAAGTTTATTGACTCACCGGCTCCGCCGTCGCCATTTTACGTGAGCCGTTCACACAGGCCTCATATGAGGGACGTTCACGCTTCACTTCAGTGCTTCGCTCTGATTGGCTGACGCAGTGCAGCGAGCGAATCACAAACTGTGTCTCAAAACTTTACAGCGAGTCGCCTACCAGAGAGGATTTGAACACTGTTTAGCTATGACCCATGCGTAAATGAATAATTCTTTTGAATCGGATCTTAATAATGAATAACAACCCACTCTTTTTTTTCTTTTTCTTCTTTTATTGCAGTTTTTAGAACAAAGAACATACAAGAGCAATAACATATAAATTACATCAAAACAAAAATAATAATAAACGAAAACAATTTAAATATATTATATTGAATGTTTATGATTTATATGATTGAATCACAGAGTGCATCTACAAAAAGGTTTAATATTAAAACTAATTTTTTTTATATATTTTTATATAATATGTAATTTCGATGTTATTACAAATTATTAACTTAAATATCAGAAAAGTATTTTCAGCCAAGTGATGTATATTAATTTTAGTATTGTTTAATGTAAATGCAAATTATATTTGTTTTTTATGCGCTGAATCAGGGATGCCATAAAGTCAACTGAATAAAATTATAATAAAAATAAACAGCAATGAACAGACATAAGTAACGATATGTGAATTTACTCGAGCGTTTTGAGCATGACAGACCAAAATGTGATTACTTGAGACATAAAGGGCAGCTGAATCGTTTTTGACCGGTTCGTTTAAATGAACGGTTCAAAAGAACCGATTCGCGGAAATGACGCCCCCAAATGTTGTCTGCGTAGGTGGCTCATTAGGTTTTGACTCACAGCCGTGCGCTTCAATAACTGTATACATTTCCAGTGCATATTTATAAATGATCAATTATACTATGAAACAGGTTAGAAAATTAAACCTCGCAAAAATAAAGAAAAGTTTTTTTTTTTGTGGCTGCTTCGATCAACTCTACGTAATCGACATATATAGTTAATTCTGTTAAATTCATTCACGTTTTCCCATTATGAAGGTATAATGAACATATTACAATAATTCCTACTATTTTGGATGATAAATCTTTAATTCTGACCGCACTGTGACTCATGACGTCAAGATGTCCCTTCTGTTGACAGCCAAGACCGGAAGTATCGCCAGCAGCCATCTGGTTCTCAGCCCTTCGGCCCTGTCTCAGGTCAGCAGTAATAATTTTTTGTTTTAAAAAATGTCAAGAACTAATCGGATCGTAAATGATACGGAGGTACGTCATCGTGATGCCTTAAACGGAACGCGAGAACGAAGCGGATGTCGTTGCCAGCATGAGGCTGCTGTCAGACCCGCACACAGCGAGCAGGTAACGTGTCAGATCTGATCCAGCGCTACAGAACATTCAGATGTGATTGTTTTAATTTAATATTTAAATATAATAACAAAAAATAGAGTTGCATGAATGTATTTGACGTCATTTCCTTTCACTTTTTGCTCGGAAATGGAGAAATACTCGATTGGTTTTATCAGTAACTTCATACTCTGCCCTATCTCTCCCTTTCTTTATCAAGAGATTTCTACATCAAACAGCAGCCTGCTCTATGATAGCTGTGTTGTCACATTCATTAGCTATAACATAAGGTATTCGTGGCATTCAGTCTAATCTGTTAAGCCTCCACAATATCTCTCTTAGCTTACTTTAGCTGAATAATGAAGCCCAAGTATAGTAACCTGTTTTTTTACCTGCCTATATTTAGCATGAGTACATGCAAACATATAATCACACTCCCACAGATACTCTCACACCACAGTCATGTGGTGTCATCTTGTACAGAATTTTCCTTTTTCTGATTTGTATAACATAAAGTGCCCCTTTTATGGGTTATGAAAGGTTCATATTTTGGTTTTGGGAGTCCACAACAACAGGTTGACATGCATGCAAGATAAAAAACACTTTCATTTATAATATGCATTTATTTTTTCCTTTTTTGTTCAACGACTCCCAAACGGTTTGCTCAATGATTCATTTTTCCAACCCCCTCCTTTGCGTGATGCTAAACTGCGGTGATTGGTCTGATGACCCAGTCTGTTGTGATTGGTCTATTGCGTGCAGCGCATGTCAAAAACGGAACGCCCATCACCATTACTTAGCCCACAGCTCAGTGGTAAACACCCAAACAACCATAGTGTATGCGTTAGCCCAATGCAGAAACGTATTGATAAAGCAGAACTCCAAGTAATAACAATGACAAACATTCACTATTCATCGACACATTTCTAGACAATTGCGAACGAACAGATATTGCTGTTAGACGGAGACCTACAAGCTGCGTGGAGCGAACACGACACACACAACTAAATACGTATTTTGCATGCTACAGTACAGAGTACATGACAGCAACAGTTTTTAAAGGGGTCATATGATGCAATTTCAATTTTTCCTTTCTCTTTGGAGTGTTACAAGCTCTTGGTGCATAAAGAAGATCTGTAAAGTTGCAAAGACTAAAGTCTCAAATCCAAAGAGATATTCTTTATAAAAGTTAAGAGTCAACCACGCCTACCTAAAACGGCTCGTTCTAACCCGCCCCACATGTCTACATCACAATGTGGGAAGATTTGCGTAACGCTGCCCAAAAGTTCACGCAAAAAAAGAAGGCGTAACTTTAATTCTTGCTGTTGCCTCCGCTACCATGT